TTGAGGTCGGTTTCGACCTCCGTCAGCCACCAGGTAATCAAAGTAGTATGTGCTTACTGTATAAACTGTGGCACATACAGAAAAGTGTAAGTAATTAGACCAAAAGAAGCACCCATAGTTCCACTACCCACAAGCAAACACTTTACATACTGGGACAGCCCTTCACATGTGTGTATGTATATGTATATACACACACACATACATAATTGCTAATTCTGTGCAAATTATTATATCTTTGTGTTTAATATAAATATTTCTCATTTCCTTGAGCAAGCCATTTTAATGCTTCTATTTTTTTATATTTTTTATTTATTTCTAGGAGAGAGAGAGAGCGTGAGCAGGGGAGGGTCAGAGAGAGAGGGAGTCACAGACTGAAACAGGCTCCAGGCTCCGAGCTGGCAGTCAGCATAGAGCCCGACGCGGGGCTCGAACCCACGAACCGCGAGATCATGACCTAAGCGAAAGTCGGACGCTCAACCGACTAAGCCACCCAGGCGCCCCAGCAAGACATTTTTTTAAAGGTTCTATACTAACATTGTATAGCTCTACCAAAATGTAACCATTTTCATTCTTTAAAGGTTCAAAAGATACAAATATTTGTAAAACTCTTTATTCTTAGTATTTAATTGTTCTCCACAATGTGTGTATTAATTAGTATTTCCAGTCTCACTGAAGGAATGGCCTGTCTTACTATACCTATGAACTGCGAACAGAGAAAGATACCCGGCCTTGATTGGGTATCCCCATCTCTCCTAGGCGCCAAGCCTCTGATCTACCTTCTTCCTCTCTTTAAAAATGTAAAGAAAAATTCAGAGCCCTTTGGATTCAGACATTCAAACTATTGGGGACTTTGGCCAGTTCTTGCTTTTCAGTTTCCCCCATCATTTTCTATTCCCCTAAACCTTAAAAACAATACCATCCAATCAGTATCTTAAAGATGGAAAAGGAATCAGTGGAAATCTCTCTTCCAGAACCCTGGCCTTCCCTACCTACAGGTGAGGCTCCTTCAATATCTTCCTCAGGAGCTTCATCCTGCTAATAGATGCTGTGGCTCCCGTGGGGTTGGGTCTATAAGAAGTCAAAGCTTAGGTGTTAAATAATTATTCCTATTAAGAATCCCTGGGAAGGGTGCCTGGGTGGCTCAGTCAGTTGAGTCTTGAGTTCAGCTCATGTCATGATCTCACGGCTTGTGAGACTGAGCCTGGTGCTCACAGCACAGAGCCTGCTGGGGATTCTCTCTCCCTCTCTCTCTGCCCAAACCCCACTCATGTGTGCATGATCTCTCTCTCTCTCTCTCTCAGAATAAATAAATAAACATTTAAAAAAATCCCCAGGAGAAACAACCTAAGTGTCTATCAATGGAGAAAGAAGATGTGGTATATTTGTACACACACACACACACATACCATGGAATATTATTCAGCCATGAGAAAGAAGGAAATCCTGCCATTTGCAACACTGGATGAATCTTGAGGACATTAAACTAAGTTAAGGTTAGTCAGAGAAAGACAAATATTGTATGGTATCACTTACATATAGAATCTAAAAAAAGCCAAACTCATCAAAAGAGAGTAAAATGGTAGCTACCAAGGGCTTGGGAGGTAGGGTAGTAGAAGAAATGTTGCTTAGGAGTACAAACTGGGGTGCCTGGGTGGCTCAGTCGATTAAGTGTCTGACTTTGGCTCAGGTCATGATCTCATGATTCATGAGTTTGAGCCCCACATCAGGCTCCATGCTAACGATGCAGAGCCTACTTAGGATTCTCTCTCTCCCTCTCTCTGCCCCTTCCCCTGCTTGTGCTCTCTCTCCCAAAATAAATAAACTTTAAAAAAGTACAAACTGGCGATCTAATGCTCAATATAGTGATTATAGACAATAATACTGTAGTATAGACATCAAACTTGTTAAGATACTAGATATTAATTATTCCTACCACAAAAAAGAAATGATCATTTGGTGACATGCTAGAGGTGCTAGCTAATGCTACAACAGTAATCATATTGTAATCTATAGATGTATCAAATCAATGTTTACACTTTAAACTTCCACAATATATATTTCAATACAAAAAAGGTCCCATATAACTGGAACCTTAGAAAATAAAATAAATTGGAGAGTAAAGAAGCAACATTCTGCATACAAATGACCTCTCTCAGCCTTACCCAACAAAAAGTTAAAATTTAAATGGACAAATGCTTTAATAAAGGTAAATGCAGAATGTCAAGGGGAGGGGGGAAGAATCCTCCGGAAAACTCTCCCCACTTAGGACACTTTGGCAAGTCATGGTCCTGGAAAATTTATTCTCCAAATCAGTGGCTGAAGGGAGTCTGCGGCTTTCTGGAGCTTCAGCATTGCATTATAAGAATGAATAATAATAACTACTCTATTGAGCCCTAGTTTGCTCTCAATGTTAACAGGTCATAGCCACCGTGAGGAAGGTAGTATTATGACCCTTGTTGTATGGATGAGGAAACTGCAGCTCAGAGTAGCTTTCTGATTCCTTGATACTCTGTGACTTATAGCACATGTTGCTTTCTTTCTCTTCTCCCACTTTGCACTTGCAGAGAGTGTGAACTGAATAGGACCTACACTTCCTGTATTTCAAACCTTTGTGTGCTATACCCACTCAATCACAGCACAGCACTGATGAGATCAAAACATAGCAGCAGGAACCACTTTTCATGTTTACTTCTATTTGGCTGCACATTTGTCATCATGCGGTTTTACCATATTCTATCCATTGAGCTTGGCTGCTTCCCCAGCCCCATAAATTCAGCTTGTGCCTACTGCTACACCCGGAGCCTCTTGTTTTGCCATTATCTTTGAAGTCAGTAATATTCATGTGTTTGCCTGGCATCTCCCATCTGGGCCACTGTCCTTGTGATACTTTCAGAGACCGCTTAAACAACTATTCTTTCCAGGGTGGGCTTGTTTACTTCTCCTTTCAGGTTTCCTTAAGAACAGTTCTCTCAGTATCACTAAATCACAAAATGATTGCATTTTCAATCTAGAAGAGACTTTATCCGTTGTCTAGTTATCCTTTTACGGAAGAGGTGCTCGGATCACAGGCGTCCAGTGCTCTTTCCTATAGTCTCTGGTCACTGGCTGTTTCCTTGGCTCCAGGAGCTAGCATCATAGGTAAAAGAGGGTAACCCATCGATGCCCTTAGATAGAGCAGAGGCCTCTGTCTCTTGGCTCCTTAGGATGGTTGCTTAGCCAATCCTGAATTAGTGAGCAATGTGGATTTTGCCTATGTTAACTCTGCAAGACATCCTGATAAACTCTTTTTTATTGGTCTGCCTCAGCTAAGCATCTGGCTTTTGGTAGTGTAACAGGGAGAAAGGTGTAAAGGAAAACCTTTCAAAAATCCTGCTATATCATGCAGAAGGAATAATCCTCCCTCCTCCTGGCCCAACACCTAAAGTTTCCTTAAAGCTGGAATGAGCTGGGGTACCTGGGTGGCTCAGTTGGTTAAGCGTCAGACTTCAGCTCAGGTCATGATCTCACGGGTCATGGGTTTGAGCCCCGTGTTGAGCTCTGTGCTGACAGCTAGCTCAGAGCCTGGAGCCTGTTTCAAATTCTGTATCTCTCTCTCTGACTCTCCCCTGTTGATGCTGTCTCTCTCTCAGAAATAAATATAACTTTAAAAAAAAAGCTGAAAAGAGCTTTATTTTGCTTTTCAAATGATTTAAAATTTATTTTATTTTTTTATTCTTTAAAATCTGTTTTAATGTTTATTTATTTTTGAGAGAGAGATGGAGCATGAGTGGGGGGGGGGAGGCATAGAGAGAGAGGGAGACACATAATCCGAAGCAGGCTCCAGGCTCTGAGTTGTCAGTACAGGGCCAGGCGTGGGGCTCGAACTCATGAGCTATGAAATTATGACCTGAGCCAAAGTAGGATGCTTAACAGAATGAGCCACCAAGCCATCCCTAAAATTTATTTTAAAATATTACCACAACATATAGCACATTCACACCTTTCTAATTCATTGTCAGATTTTAAAAATAGTATTGTTTGTGTTGTATTTTTATGTAATTTACATATTGTTTCAATTTTGCAATTTGCTTTCCTCCCTTTTTGTATATATACAGAGAGATGCAGATATCAAAAGTGATGAATTTTCCCAAACTGAACACAGTTACTTGCATTCAGATCAAGAAACATTTCCATCATCCCAGAGCCCCCCATACAGAGCTTTTATGTTCTTTGATCTCTTCTTTCAGAAATTTGCATGATATGAGAATGGATTTTTATATGATTTAAAGATGGCACATTTCCCAGCTTTCTAACCTGTAGAATGTGTACAATAAAAGGAACATTTCTTTCCTTCCCACCCTTATGAGGCCAACTTAAAAATCAAGTTCATTAAAAACGTTGGCATCTTAGGAGAAAGTTGAGGGATTCATAGACTCATACATAGTTAAAGCTTCAACAGACTTTGGAAAGAGGAGGTTATGATTAAGATGTTGCTATCTCTCAAGAAGCAAATCTGGAACTAGAGCCCAGGCCTCTCCACCCACATCTTTCCTTGCTTTGTTGATATTTTGTAAAGAGCCACAACAGAAAGTGGAGAGAACTCTCAGGAAGAGAGACTTGGGGAAGATTTCCTGTGGAGAACCGAGTAGTAACACTGTGGCTGACTGTGGACAGTAAAGGTGGTTCCTCCTCTTCTATTCTGTCAGACAGAACTCTCCTGCCTTTTGGTTGCTTCCTGGAATAGTCTTTAACAAGGTCCCTAACCCCATGACACTCAAATTGTGAGCAGAGGCACCCCTAGGGATGCAGAAAATTTACAGGGGTGCCTCAGAATATTTTACATTTTTGAAGGAAACATGGTGATACCTGACATCTGTTGCAAACTGTATCAACTGTTACTCAAAGGAAATCCACAGTTTCAACATTAGATTGCATGACATTCCTTTTGACAACATCCTACCTTTCTGGAGTTGGGTTTTGGGTGGATGCTGTGTTCAAAAGAAAATTGATGGGGAAAAGGAACTGTTGTGTGCAATCTGATTCCACGATTTGAGAAGTTGTACAGTCCACCACAGGTGCACAAAATTTCATTACAACATAATTGTAGTTGTGGTGCCTGGGTAGCTCAGTCGGTTAAGTGACCTACTTTGGTTCAGGTCATTATCTCGTGGTTCATGACTTCAGGCCCTGTGTCAGGCTCTGTGCTGACAGCCTGGAGCCTGGAGCCTACTTTGGATTCTGTGTCTCCCTCTATCCCTGCCCTTCCGCAACTTGCACTCTGTCTCTCTCTCAATAAATAAATAAGCATTACAAAAATTAATAAAATCACTTTTAAAAAAGAAAGTAATTGTAGTTATTTAAGAATAAAATATAAATATCTACTTTCTATTTATGTGTATTATTTTTGGAAACAACCACTAAATTGTTTGGACCTAATTGCTTAACAGGTATCTCCTTTGAACTAGGGTCTCCATGAACCTTTGCCTTAGGCATAGGTTGGGTGAGATCAGCTTTTTTAGTAGTGTGTGTCAATTGGTAGACCCAGTTTCTAGTATTATTTCATTCAGATGAGGAAACTGAGTCTTAGAAAGTAAATTGACGCAGGTCATTGATCATCCAGGTAGGGCAGATCCGGATTTTATAGACGTGAATGAAGCATATACCATTGCTGGAGCTAAATTTACACTTGCCCTTACATTTAAGCACCACAATGCACAATTAGTTTCAAATTTGGATAGTCGGCTTGCCAGGGGCCTATACATGTGAGGGCTTCCTGAAGCTTAAGGTTCATTGGCTTAGCAGAAAGTCCACTTGGCCGCCAGCTGGAAGTGGTGGAAAGGGAATTCAAAGCCAGCTTTATCTGCCTTTAAAGACACAAAATAGGAATTTTCTTTCCCTAAAGATAAGCATAGAAAACCAGGGATGTGAAAATACTCCTAGAAATGTAAGCTCATCTGGGTTATCTCAGCACTTGACATCCCCAAGAAAGAACCTGAGAGTGGGAACATAATTCCTGTATCCTCTCACTTGAAAGTTGTGAAAGGGGACTGGAGAGGGCTTTGGTGTCAAAGCTGAGTTTGAATTCTGGCCCCATGGCTTCCAAACTCTGAGCTGTGAGAAAGTTACTTACCATCTCTGGGTGTTACTGGAGCAGCAGGACCCACACGCCATCAGATTGTGAGGATTAAATGAGCTATCACGGATGAAAGTGCCTGGTCTACAGCAGGCACACAAACTCTGTTAATTTCCCACTCCTTTCTCTGCTCCCACGCAGATATGTGTATTTGGAGACAAAATAAATATATATAAGCTAGTTGGTAGAGTTTCCTTCATGTGTGGGTAAATTAAGTAAATGCACATATATGGCAAGCAACTGTCTACAAAAGATGCAAATCAGACCAAGTTGGCAGATGCTTGCTTTGGTTCAGTGCCTAGCTCAGAGTCTACTTTCAGGGGTTCCACATTATCCACAGACTAAGGTCAGAACTCCTTATGCTAGTATCTGAAATATCCCTAAATCTGGCCTTAACCTACTGTTTTCTCCCACTATGATCCAACTCTCTTTTAACCCAACTGGTTACCTCACTGACCCTTAAATATCCACCATGGCCTCAGTGGAAAGCCACTTCCCCCACCAGGAATTCTCTCTCTTTTCTACCATCCTGAATCCTACTAATCCTTCAGGACCAGTTCCATCCCTTGCAGTATTTTCTGACTGATCCCAGCCCTTGGGGACGCCATTTCTGTCAACTCCTACCGTTCTGCCCGTTTGTACCATGCCTCATATCTTAACCACACACTGCCTTACTTTGTTCTACAGCTTTTAGGGAGTTTGTTTTTCCTTCCAATTGCGCTGTAAGTTCAATGCAGTGTCATGGAAATAACATCAGACTGAAACAGAGACTTGGCTTCTGTTTGCAACTTGCTGTAAAACCCCAGGCAAACAGCTTCCTTTAACTCAGAAGCGAGGGGGTTGGATAGGCAAACTCTAAGATTCCTTTCCTGAAATCAGGGCCCTCTCCACAGGGCCCAGCTCCGTGACATGTATATGTATAGTTTCATTTGAAAAACACTCAAATATTTGTGGATCACGGATTCCCAAAGCATTGGCTAAAGGATGAATAAAGGTGAACCTGATACAGGGCTTGCTCTCAAGGAACTTACAAGGGAGGACTAGATACACATACTTGTAGAATTTACTGAATGAGGGTCAGGAACTGGTTGATTATCGGCCTGACATTCTGCCTGGTAGTTGCCTTTGTCTCCCTTCTGCGCCGTTTGGCTCCATGGCTGACTTCATTCTCTAAATCCCGTGTTTATTCCTGTGCCAGCACCTCCCATGCTCACCTCATTAACACAGAACTCAAAAGCTCCCTGCTTCTGTTTTCACTATGCCACACATCCTGTGCCCCTTGGCTTACAAGTCAGCCTTGCAGGCTCTCAACTTGGGGATGCCCCAGTCAATGGGGCTACCCTGCTCTCGGCCCTTCCACTATTTGCTGGAACCTGAAGGCAGTCCTCTAAAGCTGGACCTGACCTGATAGACTAATCTGGCTGCAATATATAGTGGGAGGCTTCAGGGAAGAGGAAGAACATCGGGCATCAGGAAGAACATTAAGAAAACCAGCATAGTGGGCAGCCCATAGTGATTTCTTTGATGACTCTGTTATAAGCCACATGCTTTCCTGAACACTATACCTTCATTAACACACTTAACCCTTAATGATTAACATTTCTAAGAGGTAGTTACTGTCATTATCTTCGATTTATTAAGGAGCCCAAGACAGAGAGACGTCAAATAACTGACCAGATAGCTAGTAGGGGGAGAAGCTAGGGCTGGAATTCAGGCTGCCTGGCTGCACAGTCCACTGTCCCAACCTCTAGATAAAACTGTCTCTTCTTTTTTCCTGTTTGCTTTCTTTTTATAGTTTATTGTCAAGTTGGTTTCCATATAATACCCAGTGCTCATCCCAACAAGTGCCCTCCTCCATGCCCATCACCCCCTTCCCCTCTCCCCTACTCCCGTCAGCCCTCAGTTTGTTCTCAAAACTGCCTCTTCTGCAGTACTCGGTAAAGGCTTTCTTCTGTGTCAGCTACGATTATTTCCTGGAGCTACCCCGAGACAGACAGAAAGTAACAGGCAGATACATTTTCTCTGGTGTGTGGTGAGATCTGGAAGGTGCAATCTGGATAATCAAGACTGGAGTTACCGGTTTCAGGGTAGTCAGTCTGACCCTGAATTGCAGGAAAAGCATCAGGCTACAGAGAAGGTCCTGGCAATAGGAGGTCTGAGTTCAGGTCTCAGTTCCCATCTAGCAAATATTTCCACCTTTCTGAACCTCAAGTTTCCCCCACCTTAAAAGTGACAGAAAGGGAGTTGCACCAGGTGAGCTCCCCGGCCCCCTCCAACATTCCGGGTTACGGGGTAGTAATGGAGAGGTGTGGGAAGACCGTACAATATAGGTCTGTGTGTGCAGAAGGGCGGCTCTGTGGGTGGAGGCAGGAAGGCGGTGTGTTTATGCAGAGGCGGAGGGAGAGGTTATGATTATACAGGGTCTGTGGACCCAGGCAAGAAACTTAAGGAAAGAGGCTCTGTCGCGTAGGGACTTGGGGGAAGAGTTGAGGGCGAGCTTCCAAACCGCGCTGTGCGCGGAGGGTGCACGAGGAGAAGCCACAACCGTGGCAAAGTCAACGGGAGGCCTAGCGCAGCTCTCGCCGGGCGAGGAGCCAGAGCTGGGCCCCGGCCGGGCCGGAGGAGGGGCGGGGCGAGAGGGCCGGCCGAGGCCTATGCGAGCTCCAAGGGAGAGAGCTAGGCAAGGCCCGCGCCCGCCCTCCCCGGGGCCGCCTTCGCCGGCGTCTGTGCCCGCGCAGACTCCGCCCACAACACGTGTCACGTGTGCGCCACGCACCCTCCCTTGGCGCGGGCCGGGGGCGCTCGGGCGGGCCGCGGGGTCCCGAGGGAGGAAGCTCCGGGGGCGAACCAGGGACTGGGCACGGGGCCGAAGACTGGGCACAGGGCCGGGACAGGGCCAGAGCCCGCGGACGCCGCCAAGGGGAAGGCGGGCGGCTCGGCCGGCGCGGGGCGGGGCCTGTCGTGAAGGGCGGGGCCTGTTGCTGGGGCTGGCGCAGGAAACGAGGAGAAGGGGCCGGTCCTACTGGCTGCCTGTTGGGGCTGCTTGTTTACTCCTGGCGGGGGAGCTTTAACCCGTAGGGCGGGAGGGACAGAGGGAAAACGCGGAGCTGGATCTTCGAGCGGCTGGAGCAGGAGTGGGCGGAAGGAGGGGACTGCCGCGAAGGTGCCAGGGCCGCTGCGTTCCTGGAAGGGTCCAGCTGCAGACGTTCTGTACAGTTTTTGATTTTGTTTTTTGGCGTGTTTTAAAAATTTCCTAGTCTGTCCTGTGCTCCCTCCTCCTCCCGCCTCCACCCTTCTCTCTCTCGCTCTCGCTCGCTCTCTCTCTCTCTCTCTCTCTCACACACACACACACACACACACACAGACACACGTTAGGGAACCGTGCTCGCCTGCAATCCTTTGGCCCTGAAATTCCTTAACCCTAGAGTGGACTCCCCAGAAGAGAGGGCTGTGCCTACGTGCTCATAGGAATCCCTGCCTTATGATGTGCGTGCCTGTGTGCGTGTTGTCCCTGAGTGAGTCTCTGACACTTTTCTTAATCCAGGAAATGATTCAGTTGCAGTATCGTCATATAGTTTTCGTGTCTGCGTGTGAGTACAGTTACACAAATAAGTTAATTTTAGTCCGTATTTGAAGCATTCCAGCTCCTTCAGCTTCATTTTCCAATTTGTGTGGTAGATGAAAGAGCTTTTCGTAAAATGTGAAGTGCTCCATAAATGTACTCGCATAAAAATAGAGGAGAGGGGGCCGGCGCTGTTGCAATGCCTTCTTCAACTAACTCAGTTTTTCATTATCTGAAAATTCAGTTGGTACCAGCACAGAGATACTGTAACATGTAATTTAATATTGTACCAGTAACTACCATATAACCATTGCATACATGAAGAATTGAGGCTCAAAACAGGCGAAGTGGCTTGTCAGCAATCACACAGCTCATAAAAGAGCACAGGGACACAAATCCTTTCACACCCAAACGGTGTCCTAACCCTCCCTCCATTCGTGTAGTGGGCATATGCCATTTTCTCTGTCCAGCATTCATTCCTTTGGGACATCAGTCCTCTCTTTTTCCTGCAGTTTTGTTTAGGCTCAAAACCACATTATCCCATTCCTCTGTCCAAAGGGTGGGCATTTTAACTAAGCAGAATCAATCAGAGTTTTTCCCTGGAACTAGTATATGAATACCAAGAGACATTTTGTGTTCTGCTCGTGTTGCTAAATTGGGATGTCATAGTTGATAACTGCCAGCAACAGGCTTCCCAAGTATATGACAGAAGCTCTTTTTTTGTGTGAGTGTGGGGTGGGGGTGGGGGTGGAGGTACTCTTTTGAAGTAGGAACGACTGGGACTAATAAGGGGCAAACAGAAATGAGAGGTTTAGAGGACAGATCCTGACAACTTTGTTTTAACCTGGGACCTAGCTGTGTCTGTGGCCAGTCCAAACTTCTGGATTTCCCAGTTAAGTGAGCCAACAAATTCATTTTTTTGCTTAAGCTAGCATGAATTGAGTTCCTGTCACTTGTCTCTAAAGAGAGGCCTGTCTAATAAGTTTGGCACGGTATTATTTATTTATCCTTCAGAAAATAATGGAAGTTGGGTGTTTGCCACAACTATCACTTCTTAAGTATTCTAGTTCCCATGAGTCATACCAAGTGTGAGTTCCATGGATGTGGGTAGGCACAAGAAAATAGAATTCTTCCTCAATATTATTGTATGATAAACAGGACACAATTCAACAAACCCAAATTGGAAGTTGGACAGATAACATTTAACATTGGTGTACTGTGACGGCATGAATCATGAAGAGGATAAGATTTAGATTTTTGAGATGAGATTATTAGAAGGTTTTTAGTGAAACGGTAAATAAAGAGGGGCCAATAACAACTGCAGTTGACTTGGAACAACATGAGGGTTAGGAGTGCCAACCCCCCACCCTCCTCACCCAATGCCCCTGGAAGTCAAAAATCTGCACATAACTTTTGACTTCCTGAAAACTACTAATGTCCTAGCAAGCCTCACCAGTAATACAGTTGATTAACACTTATTTTATATGTGATATGTATTATATAGTGTATTCTTACAATAAACTATAGAAAGGGAAATGTTATTAAGAAAATCATAAGCAGGGGAGCCTGGGTGGCTGAGTCAGTTAAGCAGCCAAATCTTGATTTCTGCTCAGGTCATGATCTCATGGTTTGTGAATTTGAGCCCCATGTCAGGCTCTGTACTGACAGTGTAGAGCCTGTTTGGGATTCTTTCTCTCCTCTCTCTCTTTGCCTCTCTCTCTCAAAAATAAAACAAATTTAAAAAAGAAACCTTAAAAAAGGAAAACCTTAAAACTTTAAGAAAACTTTAAAAAAGAAAGTCACAAGGGAGAGACAATACATTTATGATACTGTATGTATCTTCATTTTAAAAAGTCTGCTCATCAGTGGACCCATGCAGTTTCAACCTGTGTTGTTCAAGGGTTGGATAAGAGTACAGGGAAAGAAAACAAGATCACCATCACAAAAGACAAAGGTCATTTGAGCAAGGAAGACATTGAGCACATGGTCCAGGAAGCTGAGAAGTACAAAGCTGAAGATGAGAAACAGCGGGACAAGGTGTCCTCCAAGAATTCCCTGGAATCCTATGCATTCAATATGAAAGCAACTGTTGAAGATGAGAAACTTCAGGGCAAGATAAATGATGAGGACAAACAGAAGATTCTGGACAAGTGTAATGAAATCATCAACTGGCTGGATAAGAACCAGACTGCAGAAAAAGAAGAATTTGAACATCAGCAGAAGGAGTTGGAGAAGGTGTGCAACCCCATCATCACAAAGCTGTACCAGAGTGCAGGAGGCATGCCTGGAGGAATGCCCGGAGGCTTCCCTGGTGGCGGTGCTCCTCCCTCTGGTGGTGCCTCCTCCGGGCCCACCATTGAGGAGGTTGATTAAGCCAACCTGAGAATAGGTCTAGCATTGTTCCACACAAAACATTTGAAGGACCCAAATTTGTAGCAAATTCCATGGCAGTTTTAAAGGAGCTGCTATAGTTAATAAACTGGGCATTCTTGATACTTGAATATGGAATATGTGCACAGGGAAAGAAATACAACATTGCACTTTATAAGCACTGTATTGTGAAGTGGAAAATGCAATGTCTTAAATAAACTATTTAAAATTGGAAAAAAAAAAAAGGGTTTCTATCAGCTAAAGGATAGAAAGGTGAGCAGTCAGTTTTAAAGAAGTAATGGGGACAGGGCATTGAGCTGCAAGGAGCAGGGGCATTTAGAACCACAGAGACAGAAGGTGTCCCTGACAGATCATTCTTCTTCCTCCTGAACGATTCTGGTGATGGACAGCTAGCTAGGTCACCAAGCAAAAGGTGGTCAATGGTCCAAGGAGAGCAGTGAAGAATGGTCCTTCACGTCCTTTGTCTGCTGTTCTAAGGCTCTGGGGATAATACTGTAGAGGCCCTGTGTGTGTTCCTTGGAAACTCAGCAGGGAGACTGGATCTGGTCTGATACCACTGTCATGAGAAGAAAAAAATTAAAGGAAAAAAATTAAAATTTAAATGTATATAATACTAGTCCCTTGCTGTTCCTTGACTGCCAGAGGAAGGATTGTTGGCTGGCTCGCTCACCTGTTAGGTCTTTGACAAAATTAAGAGACAAGTCAGGAGCAGGCTTATTTCTCCACTTGAGGAGGGACGAAAGAGGGGAAAGTGATAGTAAGGAAGCAAAGAGAAAAAGGTTGAAGACAATGGAAGAGGAGGTGAAGGGGAGAGAAACAGCTGTTGCTGGGAGGTAGAGGGCAGAAACTCGAAAAGAGGATTCCCAGAAGCTTTGTTGTGTGTGGTGAGGTAAAATTCTTGGATTCCTCCTAAAGAGAATCTCAACAAGACGTACATTAGTTTCAAGGCATTTTTGAATTGAATTTGTTTTTCTCCTGGCTCTGTCACCCAGACCTCACAGGTTTGCCATCAGCATTTTGTAACTCCTCCAGCTAACTGAAGGTGCTATAGCATCTCACCTCCTGCACCTTTTCCCAACACGCAGAAGAAATCCGAGTGACAATAATAACTTCCATTTATCAAGTGGTGGGCTAGCATACTGGCAATAGTGAAAGTGGATGCTGAAGTACATGACAGTAATGATTTTTCCAGCCATTTTGACTCTTAGTATTCATGTCAAAGAAGTCTGGCACATTATTGGCTAGTGCATTTCAAAGATTCTCTTGATTAGTTTAGATCAGGAGGTAAGCCATGAAGGAAGAGTAGAAACGTCCAAGAACTAACAACGTAGAATGGTCTGGGAGTGGAGAGAAATCTGGTTTTCATATATGGCAGACCTTCACTCCCATGGTTGGGTGCCAGGTGTCTGAAAACCCAGTTGCTAGCCATTTCTCTTGCCCTCAAGAATCATTGCAAGCTTGCTGGGGGAAACTGAGAGGCAATCAGTTATACTGGTAGAAGGACCAGGTTGAGATTTGGTGATTCAGTAGTTTATGAGATTATGACATTGGTCATGTCTGAAACCAGGATGAGAAAATCAGAGTGGTCCCAGGTGGATAATGCAAAAAGGAATTGAACAGGATTTTACTAATTCACATGATTTCTACTCCAATGTATTATAAGGATTATTAACCCAGGGTGTGGCCTAAAGCTAGCTGAATTGTAGGTTATGAAAATCTGTGTGGAGTTGGAGATATTATCAAGGTAAGATTACAGGTAAGTGTTTGATTTTCTCCAGAAGACTAAAGACCAGGAAGTCCCATTCTTTTCATCTAAATTAATTTAGGCTGGGCTGTGCAAAGAGAAGCTTTTGTGACTAAATGATCTGAACTCAGAAGGATTAAATTTGAAGGAGATCTAAGTGTCAGACCTTGCTATCTATACTAAAATACAAGAGGAAATTAGATGATGTGTGTCAATCCCTTTTTACTTCTAGTGTCTTACAAATTGGTCTTGTACAGTGGAATAAGCCCCCCCCCCCCCATGGTGATGGAGGCCAGCCTATGATGGATGTAAGACATTGTGCTGACTGCAAATACAATGAGATGTTTGGTACAAATAGGGAACAGTCACTGATGTTCGATTCACAAGAGCCAGAAACTGTCATAAAATAATTGGCAGCGTTTAAAATGCCTTTAGAAACACACTTTTGTCTGATTGGCTTATGGGTTTACAGAGTTTTAGAAAATCTTTTTATTTTGTTTGTCAAAAAGTCATTCAGTTGATCAAACCCAAATCCTGGACAGTGGTTAGCTAGCTCATTACTGGTGTGGCTTTGTGGAGATTTTAAGTATTTCTTGGTATTTATGGTGCCATCCCGTGGTTTAGAGAGCGGGTGCAAATCATCCTATGCCTATTGTGTTTGTCTCGTCAAGAACTATGGTACTCTTACATGATCGTAGTTAAACAGGGTCTGGGCCAGTCTTTTTTTTTTTTTTTTTAACATTTATTTATTTTTGAGAGAGTGAGAGAGAGAGAGAGAGAGAGGGTGAACAGTGGAGGGGCAGGAAGAGAGGGAGACAGAGGATCCGAAGCAGTCTCTGTGCTGACTGCAGACAGCCCAATATGGGGCTTGTAGGACTTGAGGACTCGCAGGGCTTGAACTCGGGAGCCATGAGATCATGACCTGAGCCCAAATCTGAGGCTTAACTGAGTCACCCGGACACCCCTGGGCCATTCTTGACATCTGGGTGGTCTGGATTGCAGCAGGCACACCTGCCTTGGCAGGAGTTTGGTCCTATAGAAGAATAAGGAAGAATGGCAGAATGCTTATGTGAGGCTAGTGAACAAAATGGAATATATTTGAGGGGATGAAGTTTAACAATTTGACAAAGATGAAACTCTGGTAAGTTCACTAGGCCAGCCACTACAGGGAAAGTAAGGAAGCCTTAAGGGCAAAGTTACATGACCAAAACTGGGGGCAGAAAACTAATGACTAATACTGATTGGAACCCAAGAAAATAAAATAAAGGATGGCATGGGTGGGCATTCGCAGTGTATACTTTTCTGGCAATTCTATGCTTCTGACTGGTTGTCTTACCTTTTCTTGATCTCTCCTCTCTCTCTTTTGATAGTCCCCAATCTGTTTTTCGAGTAACATTTGTAATCTAGGGGTCGAGGTGACTTCAGGCTCTCTACAACCCCAAGCATAACCCAGTCCTCTTTAATTTCACAGTCTAATGTTTCTTGTCCTTTCCCACCTTATTTAATGTTGCTTATCTCTTAAATAGTTCTGTGTTATCTCTCCAATGGATGGGAAAAGCTGGCTACTTCAGCCCATTTTAAGGACTTTCTATGAGAAGATTATTATCACAGAGGTTATAATGTGGAAACCTAATAGAGAAGGGCTCTGTTAGTATTTAGTATTTAATAGTATTTGTTGAGTTGAGCTGACTTGGTGTTTTCACCATGTGGTATTTTCCCGTACCTGGTATGCTTCAGAGTGAAAGCCATGTCTAGATAGTCTTAAGCCTGTGCAGAATTTTTTTCCTCGGACTTGCACTCCTCTGGTCTCAGTTACTAGCACCTCCCCTGGGGCACAGTATAGGATGAAGCTGGAGTTGGTCCACCCTCAAAATGGTACTGTTCTGGATTTTATCTTCGTGCTCTGAACAGCGAGATAAACATACTTTTAATCCCCGTTTTTAATGCACTCACTAGAAAGCAGACAGGGTTGTTCCAGAATGGATTTCCTGTGTCATAGAAATCACAGAAGCCTAAAAGGAAAAACCAGATGTGCGCAGAGAGCCTGCCTGGGCTTACACATTCTTTCATACCCAGAGTCATAGGGCTTTATGGTCCATGTTCCCAAAGCCAGCTCATTTTTCCCCCTTTTGATTATGTACTCTTGTCCATATTCAGAGTCTTAGAGCTAAGAGGAAGCAGGCATGGATCTGGGTGTTTACGCAGTGGGGTGTATCTGTGGGTATCTCAACACATGTGAGAACTTGTTTGCTTGAAAGCGTGGCTGTGCCGAGCTAAGCAATCTATTCCAAGGATACCCTTAAGCTTTGAACACTCTACTTGCAACCTATCAATCCTTTCTCTTTAATGAAATGCAAAGCCCACCTTCTCCAGGAAAGCCTTAACAGATTGAGTAGATCAGAGAGAAGACACCATTTGCCTCAGGCACACCTGAACACTCCTTTCCCTTGAGAGTTTCTGAGTCTTGTGCCTTTTAGAATGCAAAAGCTTAAAATAGGTGCTGGGCCTGTTTTTGCCCAGTAGGATATATTGTGCTTTTTCTCAATCGAAAGAAAAGCGTAAAGTAAGTTGCAACTGCAGACTTAGTGGTATTATCCTTTTTACTTGAAACCCATAGTCTGGTTTGAGGCTGTGTTTAGAACTGTATCATCTCTGATAATACAGATCCTGAGTGTGAGTGAATGAAAAACAGGTGGCAAACAATTGGGCAGCTGGGACCTTGCTGCCCTAGGGTAGGAGAGCTAAATTCTGGAGGGATTATTTGGGACTAAAGCAGTGGATAGGGACACAGTACTGGGGTAATGTTTTGGTAGTCTAACCAGACACTTGATTTTTTTTTCTTGAATGCCTATTCTATGCTAGACACTGTTCTAGAAGCTGGGGATACAGCAAGAAACAAAAAGTAGTTTCTATTATCCTTGAACGTATAGTTGAGTGGCTGCAGACTGGCTGGCAGGTGATGATAAGTGCTAAGAAGAAAACTAAAGCAGGGCCAAGAATGGTTGGGTGGCACTATTTTAGACAGGTTAGTGAGAGAATGCCTTTCTCAAAATGATGCCTTTGAGCAGAGACCTGATGGTTTCTCCAATGATGGAGCAAGTCATGTGGGAATCTGGAGGAAGAGCATTCCAACCTAAAGGAACAGCCTTGGAAAGGCTGAGTTGGGTCGACCAACCCAGCCTTTGGAAGTGGGTCTAAGAATAGCAAGGGAGCCAATGTGGCTGGCATTGGGTGAACCAGGAAAGAATGGTGGGCAGTGGGGTCAGAGAGTTGACTGGGGCAAGATTAGGTAGGCCCTTCTGGTGAGGGAGGTGGGAAACCACTGAAGGTTTTGAGCAGATAGTGATACGAACTGACTTAGGTTTT